AAGGGAAACAGTGTAGGAATAACTTGTATAACGTTTTTATTAACAAATAGTAATATAAAACCTTGTTTTCCCTGTTTGAGACCTTAAAAAATAGACTGCGACTTATATGCCAGTGTGACTTATATTCTGAGTTTTACGGTACATTAAAAGAAACAAATATTGACTGGTATATTGCTATCAGATTTTCTAACTCTCCGATATTAATGTCAGTCATGGACTCAAAAATCCAGTGTTATTGTGAGCTTCAGTAAAATGCACTTAAAGATACTAAATTGTAAACAAATAACATCCTTTATTTCACACTCTTTTTTACACACTTGTCGCTATTAAGTTATGTTTCATTTACAGTATTACTTAAAAAAAAAAATGCAGTGAAAACTCACTTGAGCTCAACATCACAAAGACCAAAGAGCTTTGCTGTGTGGGCAGAGAGAAATCACCATCATCATCACCACGTCTTTTCCAGCCGCTCAGTATCCAGGGTCAGCTGGTGGAGCAGATTCAGTCTTCTAATACCTTGGAACAGAGACAACCTGACTGTCCTTTTCACAGCACACTGACTGTGTACAAAAAAAGCACAACAGCGCCTCCACTTGATAAGAAAACTTTTCATGATGCAAGGACATTTGAACTCTGGGTTACCGTCCACCCATTGAATCCATTCTAACCTTCAACATTTCATCATCAACTCACTCACCACCCAACACAATGCAAAACTCTCTGGCATAACTAATCAGGCAGGCAAAATAATCGGCTCACCCCAAACTCCTCTAACTGAACTGTGTAACTGCTCAGTGATTGGAAAAGTCACCCTGATAACTGAGGACCCTTCTCACCCCTTCCACGACTCCTTCCAGTCACTGCCATCAGGCAGACGCTACAGAATCCCACTTGCCTGGAACAACATTGACAAGAACTACTTCATTCCCTCTGTAATAACCGCCCTGAACAATCTAAAATAGACACTGCCCTTTAACCTGCTTTCATCAGTTGCTGTTTTATCAGTTCTTTTTTTTTAAAAAAATATTTGAATTAAATGTGTTTTGAATGTGAATCGTGTATTGTTGAGGCTTGTCAAGGGAAATTCTGTCACTGTTTGGACAGATAATAAAGTATATCTATTCTATATAACTAACGTGGATCATTGTGTCCTTACTCACTGCTGAAACTATATTTTTTTAGATTTTACTAACCAATAACCGAACCATTATCACATCTTTTGAATTTAGGGAAATGCATGTCTCCTCCTTCATTCTAAAATACATAATAAAGAGTGACAATCCTTTTTTTCCCCAGTTTGACATAGGCATCCCGTCCATGACCAAATGCTGTAACCAACATGACCGCTGCTATGACACCTGCGGCCGTGAGAAGCACGACTGCGATGAGCAGTTCCAGGACTGTCTCGAGACTATCTGCAGGAACGTGCAAAGGACTCTGGGATTGGCTCAGAGTGTCCAGGGTAAGAGCCAAGTGTTCAAATTAGGTGCAGGGTAAGATGTTGCACCTGGTAAACAAAAACAAAAACAAATTTTAAATACAGAATTGAAGTTGTTAACATTTTTGTTACTCATTGGAGCCAGACCCATACTTGAAAGCAGTTGTAAAACACATCATGTCCAGCAGAGTGTGACATAAAGCTACTTTTTAAACACTGTATATCTAGATACTGTAATCCAGTGGTCTGGCCACAGGGTCCAGATTCCTCCTTAGTCATTAGTTCAAGGTCCACACAGTTTGATACATTCAATATCATACTTGCCCTTGGCCATGTGTTCGAGCTAGTGTGCTGTCTCTGTCAAGTAGTTGTCCCTTAGTCACTCGCTCTACAGCTGGAAACGGCACTTCAAAATAAAAGCTCTGTGCCGGAAATTTACTGTACTTAAAAATAAAGTGTGTTTTTACAAACTTTTTCTGGGGGGATGCTTATGGACCGCGACCTGCCAGCTGGGAACCACTGCTGTAAACTGTAAATGGATACTGTGATAACCCCACTTGACAGTTATGCTTTAATACTGACTCATAACCACGTCAACCTCATCCTGTCATAAATAAAATCAGATTACATTTGATGAAGGTTTTAAAAGAACTACCCAAGTGCTACATATATATTTAGAGTCTAATCAAACCTGTCTTGCCACCTTGCTCTTTATGCTGCTGTGATTTTAGATAATGCTGTGATGCATTTAAAGTTTTATTCTTAAAACAAAAGTCTTAATCTGGTTTTAATCTCAGTTAAAGTCTGAATTTTATCATTAATGTATGCTGTGTTTAAATACAAACAGCTCACTTACAGTAAGGTGTAAGCAGGTACCTGTTTTTAAAGCAGCTCACCTTTGCCCTGTTGTGTATTAGCTCATGTTGTTTCTTTTGTTCTGTCTTTCCCTCCTGGCAGCTTGTGAGTCAGCAGTGACTCTGCTGTTTGACGCTGTCATGCACATGGGATGTAAGCCATACCTGGACAGCCAGAGGGAGTCTTGTGTGTGTCAATATGAAGTGAAGAGGGAACTGTGACACCACCACAAGATCAAGCCTGTGGAACAGACTGATTGAGAAGCACAACACAGAAAGCTGCCAGCAATAAACTTTTTATCAGGGTTTCTCAGGGATAGAGCCTCTCTGCACTGCTCTGACCTGTGTTTATTGCCTCCTTTGTTGGAGTTTTAAAATATAGGAATCTACTAGACAAAGTGAATGTGAAAATACCACATGGATAATTCATATCTTTACTATGAAGTAGTTAATTATTTATATTGTGTTAATACTGTGTGATGTGTTTGTCCAGTAATAGGCTGCTAACATGGTGTTCAGGGTTATCCAGGCTTTTGGATGCTTGGGTAGCACTTTATTTTATAGATTCATACACTGAAAATAATTCCCCAATAGGTTTTGTGGTGGTAATGAAAAACAAACAAACAGCTTTTTCACACTGTTTATGGGTAAAAAAGGAACAATGTAAATGGAGCTGTTCCTTCAAGCACATTCTTATGGAAACCAGCAACAGCCTTTAAACACACATGATGACAGCTAAATTAAAGTCACAGGATTTTCATTATTTCCCATACAATTAGGATTAGAAATTTTTATAGTTAAGTCCAGGAAACTGTGAGGAAATTATCACAAAAACTGTAAAATAAACCATTACAGCTGACCCCTCCCCGTCCGATAACACTAAAGGAGCATGTGAGAAATAGTAAGACAATAATGTCTCTTTCTACAGCATCTAAAGTAATTTGCTTTTTTTTCTAGTAGAACATTTGTAAAATATTTAATAAGTATCATCTGACAGATACTGCACTGGTGCACTCAACTGTTGCCAATGTGATAACACTGTGAAGGAAACCTTTGTTAAACTGTCACAAAAATAAAGAAACATGCTTTTATTGATAATTCTGTGTGTCAGTTGTCATCATTGACATTTTTGTAGAAACTGTTTTCTTGCAAACAACATCTAGAGTGATGTTTAGAGACCCCTGAGAATCTGTGACTTGGCTCCCATTGATTTCTCATCCAAAAGCTTTTCTGTCATTTATTTGATAATGATGTAAAAAAAAGAAAAAACGGCTCACTGTAATAAGGCCTGGAATAGATGTTAAGCTCTCCTGAACTCTGGCTTTACTGACCTTAAACACACTTCTGTTGTTTATGTTTTTTTTTTTTTTTTTAAATCCCTGTATTTGAATGTTTTTTGAGTTGCTCTTGCCCCAGAGGAAAGTCCTGATTCACAGACCCCGTAAATCGGCCAAAATGATGCTGCAGGGAAATCAGGGTCCCCTTGTGAAGCCAGACCTGGGAGATGAGCTCGTTGGTGGCCGGTCCTTGACCTATGAATCATTGGTCAGGCACGGCCCGAAAGAACTACATGGAGCCGCTGCCCTAAAGACCCACCACCTGCAGGGATAGGCATTGGGGGTGGATGCTTTTGTCTAGGTCCTCGCCTCTGACTGCCATTCTTTGCCCCTATGCATGGCACTGGAACCCATTGGAACCACGGTCCTGAAAATGGGGCTGGACTCTCCTTTTTTTGAGTTGCCCAGTGTGAGAGGTGTCAGGCAGGTGGGGGATCTTGAGCTGAGTACTGCTGTGTTGGAGTTCTCCCTAGAGAATAAGAAGGTTGCCTCATAGTGACTGAGTTGCTGAGACTCATAGTTGCTGAATTTTGTTAATGCCAATTCACCAAACAGCAGTTACAAGTATCATGTCTTCTTGGAATTTCAGAGTGGTGTCCCGAATAGGATACCACCTAGGGTTTCTATAGCTTGCCGTAGGGACTCACACTAGCAACAATGGAGAAACCTAGAGCGAGTGAATGGGAGTAATGGCTTGGTGCTTTGTTATTGGACTTGAGCTAGTCACAGATTAACCATGATAAACACCATGTTCAAGCACAGTGTAATTCTTATTTGATACCAGAATACCTAAGGCCAGAGATCAATGATTGATTTCGTGGTCTTATTTTCAGAAATACGGGTGTATGTCTTGGAGACTCTGATGAGGACAGGAGCAGAGCTGTCAGCTGATGGATGTGACGGATCAGATAGCAGGGGAGACAACTGGACCAACCCAGTAAATCCAAATGTGTAGTTAAGATGTACTGGGGATGTCTGACTGGGTCTCCTGTCAGCAAGGTCTTTCACCTCCACCTCCGAAAGAATTTCGAAATTCATCTAAGGGGAGTGGGGACAAGGAATTCGAGTAGGCCATGGATAAGAATGTCCAAAATTAGTTTTCTCCATAGGGTGGCAGGGCTAGGGGGCTCTGAGTTGAACTGCTGTTCCTGTGTGTAGATGTAAGTCAGTTGAGGTTTTTTGGGCATCTGATCTGGATGCCTCCTGGGCTTCTTCCTTCAGAGAGTTTCTGGGTACGTCCAACTGGTAGGAGACTGTGGGGTAGATCCACAACACACTGGAGAGATTATCTATCTCATCTGGCTTGGGAATGTTCTGGGATCCCCCAGGCGGAGCTGGAAAACGTTGCTGGGCAGAGGGACATGTGGACTGGAAGCTGCAGAAAATGGATTTATGGATCAGAAGGTGTTGCAGTGTGGCAATCACAAACTTCCTGGCTGTTTACCTTTAACTGACACATGTGAGCCATGTTCTCTGCTTGTCACTTTCAGCCAATGACATTGAAGGGGAGGAGTTTAATCCTAGTTTATCAGTGTTGAATTGACTGAGCAAATACATTTTTCAGCACCTGCAGTTAGAGTGAAGACAACCTGTGAAGATGTCAAGCACAGCATAAGACATATGTGGAGGTAACACATTTTGATTGATCTTTTAAATTAAAAGTAGTCATAAGTTGTGGGCTCCTGCATATGGAATTTCAAAAGTTGAA